AAGAGGTGGTGGCTTGCTTAGTCCAAGGGAGGCAGAATCTTTTTCATCAGATAATCTTCATGTAGAACTTGTTGGAATATCTGGACGAGAATGTGAAGATCTAGCTAATTCAGAGAACATTCAAAAAATCCAGCCCTCTTTTGGATTGATTTCGGTCCCATTTTTGGATGAGGGAGAGTCGTGGTCATGCAAATTAGAAATTAGATGGAACCGTCCTAAGCCTATCATGCTTTATGTGTCACTGGGTTACTTTCCTCAAAGTCCTGAACTTAGCTCACAGAGAGCTCATGTGCACAAAAGCTTGCAAATTGAAGGTAAGACTGCTGTTGTGATGAGCCATCACTTTATGTTGCCGTTTCGGAGGGAACCACTGCTGCTGTCAAAGACTAAACCAGCTTCCAATTCTGACCAAATACCATCTCTGCCTTTGAATGAAACAAGTATGCTAGTTGTTAGTGCTAAGAACTGCACTGAGGTGCCTTTGCGCTTGTTGTCCATGTCCGTGGAGGCAGTTGATGCTAGCACCTGTGATGTGAAAACTAAGAGTAAGAACCCAGAAGAACATGTGTTGCTTGTGGCAGGAGAAGAGTTTAAACAGGTTTTTGCTGTCACTCCCGAGGTTAATCTTCCTAAGCTAAACATGGGTATTGTGTGTTTGAGATGGAGAAGGGATCATGGAGATGGAGAAAGATTGACTTCCTGTAGCACAACATCTGCAGTTCTAACGAAACATAGTCTGCCCGATGTAAATGTGGAGCAACCTCCACTGATCGTGAGTCTAGATTGTCCCCCTCATGCTATTCTTGGAAATCCATTTACATACTCCATCAAAATTACTAACAGAACACAGTTTCTTCAGGAGGTCGAATACTCTTTAGCGGATTCACAGAGTTTTGTTTTATCAGGGCCTCATAATGATACGACTTTTATTTTGCCAAAGTCTGAGCACATACTTAGTTATAAGCTTGTACCACTTGCCTCAGGTTTTCAGCAGCTTCCTAAAATTACATTGACCTCAGTACGATACTCAGCTGGCTTTCAACCTTCAGTTGCAGCTTCTACAGTGTTTGTATTCCCATCTGAGCCTCATTTCGGGTTGAAGGATATTGGAGAGATGAGAGTGGAATCTGTTGCAGCCGAATAGGTTTCTAAAAAAGTTGTTCAAGTTTAAGTTTGAGGCTGATTAGTCGAAGAGGCTTAATGATAAGAAAGCATGCTTCTGGATTATTTGAAGCCACTATAAGAGGAATGCACTCACCTGTGGATTTGACACTGTTTTGAACTTGGATCCGGGGACACAATGTATGAGTTCAAGATGCTGGCATGACATTTTGACTGGATGCTTGCCACGGGGAGTCTTTGGTGGAGACACAGATTTTTGTAAGCAGTACATTAATGTGCTCTCTTCCGTTTGATTATATGTACAATCATGTAATTTTGTTGCTGACCTTTTAAGGAGGGCACACTAACTTTGCTGCTCATAAAATTATTTTTCAAATACTACAGAGAATGTGTTCTAAGCATTTACAATATACGAAACCAGCTACGAAGAGCGTAATCCGTTCTTTGTGGTGGCACTGGTTATTTGGCTCTGGTGATGCAAATATTCTAAAACTTTATGGTTACTGGCTCTGATAAAAAAAAAGAATATCCAGTCTCATCTCTTGAGAAAGTTTTTTTTACCTTTAACATAGACTAGGAGGCAAAAGGAACAATAGTTCATAGTCATATTGTACTCTCCGTCATAATATCCACTATCCTTTATACCTGTGTTAAAAAACGGAGATTACTTATCAGTGAAATTTGGAAGGGTGAAATGTACGAGATAATATGATAACTGTCAAAGAAAACAACCTAAGAATAGGAGCATCTCTACATGTTGAATAAATTCTTTTGCCTGTCAGAAATAGAGTGAAGTTATCTTACAAATGAAAGAATATGATGTATTGTCATCCGTAGAGAAATAGAAACCTATAGTGTCAAACAACCCTATAGTTTTAGGCATTATACATATATACATGCCCTTTAACTTGGCTTCATTTTATATTTATATCTTCGAATTTTGGGTGTGTACAAATAGACACTTAAACTTGTATAAAGTTGAACAAGTAGACACATTAATTTTATGTGACACAAATACACATAGGACACTACGTATGATGCAAATTATCATGTAGGATGTCACATAGAACGTGCGTGTTTATTTTGTTCAATTTTATACAAATTTAAGTGTTTACTTGTACATACTTAAAATTGAAGGACATAAATATAAAATGAAATAAAATTAAAGAACACATTTTGTATTATGCTTAGCTTTTAGGTGTCCACCCAAAAAAAAACCACAAACACCATTTTCTGGTAATTAAATATATATTACTTATGGATGATTTAGACATCTAAGCTAATGCTAGTAAAGATGTATGTAACAAACTTTACAATCCATACTTGTCCCTATTGTAATTAAGGAAATGTATGAGCTGTAATAACTTTTTTTTTGGTAATTTGAATATGATAGGGGTGATTTAGAGATGTAGTCCATATATATAGAATGCATGAGAAAAATATACTTATTTTGTTGGGTCTTACGTGGATTCTTTTGTGTAAGTTCAGGATTTCTTAAAAAACAAAAGAATATAATTAACAAAAGAAATCTTATTGTCGAAAACTATTGGCTTAAAACAGTAAAAAAATCATGATTATATTTTTAGGACTTGTATCAAATCTTTAATTAAAAATTGAGCAATTTTTAGATTACAATTCTACAATACTTCTGGTTATAGTAAACAAGTTGCAGTTTTTTGAAGAAATAATCGATCAAACAACTCGAGAACGAATAAAATCAACTTCTTTAGGGATGAATGAATATATTCACTTTGTAGGTAGTTTAACTCTCATATAGTATTTCTCATAATGATAATTATCTGATAAAAAAGTATCTTGATATGTGTAGATATCGTACAATCTTGTTGGGAAGGTACTGCACAAGGAAAGGAAAATGTTACCTTCAGATAAGGAATGCTTTTTCTGTCCTAATTTACGTGTCACATATCATTTTTGAGAGTTAAACAGTTTAAGTTTAATCGATAATTCGCTCATGGAATTTTTAATTTTTAAAAAATAAAAATTTATATATTTGTAAACTACATAAAATACTATAGGCTTCGATAATTGATAATTCAAAATAATTAAAAAATATATGAAAAAATTACGATCAGAGATAGACTTATATGAATCCCGAAATTCGATGTGTCATAAATTGTGACAAATAGAATTATAAATAATATGAAAGTAAGATAAAATCAAAACAAATAACATCAATATAGTAATTTTACGCAGGAGAGGTGAGAGTAGAAACCTTTTGGTTTTCTTGCTCCAAAATTCATTGAAACTTCATAACAAATTTAATTTCTATTAAAATTCAAATATATAATTTAATTTATAAAAAAAATTAAGTTTACTGCAATAAAATCTTCATTGATTCTCCAATTATATTCGATCTCGTCTGTATCTCCTCTAAAATACCACAATATTTTATGATTTGAAGAAACTTTAGTTTAATGCACAACACTCAACGTTGGTTGAAGAACACATGTTAGGAGATATGTTTTCTATAGATAGCTCAAAACATAAAATTACAAATATATAGCCCTAATTTTCCACTAAATAATTACACCATATATTTCCTTATTAATTTCTCTTATCGATACTAAATCAGTATCATATATTATATTGCTATCATTAAGGTTGATAATTTCGTTAAATTGATATTAAATCGATATATATATATATATATATATATATATATATATATATATATACACGTATGTATACATCTCTAAGGCTGATAATTTCGCAAAAATTATATATAAACTCTTATAGTATCACTGAATAATGAGTAAAGTCTGAACAAGAAATCTTTATGATAGCAGAACAACACTCCTATATATAATATACACACTCTTATAGTATCATTAACTAATAAGTAATATCAATATAGTATATGATATGAATGAGGGTATGAATTATAATTACTTATAAGAGAATGAATATTTCAAAAAATACTTTTAATTTAAATATAAACTTGTAATTTCTTTAAATTTTATGATCCATTTATATAATTTTCTCAATAATTCTCTATATGTTGAAAAAATGTACCTAGAGATGCTGTTATTCGTGCAAAGATATTCTTACATTTGAAGAATGTAGGATATTTATTATTTTTAATAATGATTTTTTTTTTTGCTATTTTCGCAAAACAAAACATTATAAAGTTTAGCCTTTTCATATTCCATCAACTCCTCCGTCCGTTGCATGCGTGTCTGAGTCGATCAATACACATTCCCTTCTGCCGTTTGGCCAATATTCCGACGTAAAATCGACCGCCGGTAAGTGCCTCATACTCCGTAATGCCCGTCGTTTCCTCAGTAAGTGAATATCGTTACTCAAACACATGAAAATAGTTTTTTCTTTGGATAGTCCAATTTGTTTACTAGGGTTTTGACTTCGGTTGAAACGGGAAGAAAAATAGTGTGGATTCTGTGACTTGCTTTGTTGAAGTAGGTTTTACAATGTACGGTGTAAGGTTTGTGTTGGAAGAGTTTGATGATGGTAACGTTGTGTTTATTTTTCAGTTTGTGTAACTTTCAACTTTTCCCCTGTATCAAAAAATCACTTATCTTTTTGTTAATTTTTGGAAGTTTGGTTCACGGATAAGTTTTGCATTGTTAAACCTAAGAAACAAGCAGCATTCCTACAGGACTAAAGATGGAATTTTGGACTTAAAAAATCGAGCTTTGAGTATTTATTGTTATTTGGTGGAATAATTGTACTACATATCTTGTGATGTGCATTTATTGTTTGACAGTTTGGTTTATTATTGCTGACCACCTCATGAAAAATTTCAAGCTTACTATGTCTGACCGTCACTTTCCACTTTTTGGCAATGTATTTGTCCATATTTTGTAGCTAATATTGCTGTATTAAGTTTTGTAGTCTCACAAAGGGGTACAGTTCTTTGGGGTTGCAGTAGCTTTGATATAAAAGTTGGAGGAATTCCAAGGATGAAGATGTCCATACATAATCCTCCACTCAAAACACACACACCCAAAAATAAATCTTGTTCTGTACAGAGGTGGCTGCCACCTGCCTCCCAATTTCTATAGACCCCTTCTCTTCCTTACTTTTTCTTGTTTCATCTTGTGATAAATCTTTAACCGGAGTCGTTGTTCCTCCGATTTAAAACATTTACATTCACCCAAAAGTGAACTAATTTTTATTTCTTCTCAAGCCAAAGCCACATTTTAATAGTCTATAATTTTGTCTACCGTAAAATCAAGTCTATTATGTTTGAATTTGTTTTATTTGCCGGATGAACTCATTATAATTATATTTTCTAGTTAAATTTTTTATTCAGGTATAATGTCATACTTCCTTGTGCAACATAATTTTTTTGTTTGAAAACCCTTTGTTAAACCATAATTTAGGCATACATTCTCGTTGATTCTTTTTTGGGAAAAAATGTCATTGAACACTGGAATGCCAATCTGTTGAATTATATGTTTTCACCTGCTGTATATGCGTCAGCCAAAAGTTTTCTTCCTCCTTACCAAGTCTGGATCCCGGGTCTTACACTTCCAATCTTTGTTCTATAAGAACTCACTTCCGTTGTTAGGGAGATATTTTATCTGTTCCCTGGTAATATAGGAGCTTTATAATTTGATTTTAGTGTCGTTTCTTTAGAATGAATTCTTCTGTTTTTGGTTGATCACTTGATCCACAACTCTACTTTGCCTTAGTCACCAGAGATTTTAAAAAAAAAATGAAACAGCATCTTCTTAGTTGGAATTGACAAAAATAACGCCCGTTCCTTGTTTAGCTTCTTCAGGTGCCCCTTTTGCTTGCTTACTTGGTGGCTCACCCTTCTAATTGGTTCTTTGTTTTGGAACAAATGCATAAAATAATTTTTTCCTGATCGGACATAACCGAATCAAATCTAGTTCTCTATTCTAAAGCCATCTATCATCTAATATTAAGGCATTGAAAAGTGGAAAACTAGCAAATTTATCCCTGTCTGATCTAAGTCTGGTCACTTTAAAGAACAAGTTGAAACAAAATAAGTCAAATATTGAGTGGTTCCACCTCATATTCTGGGACACTGAGCAACATCATAGAAAAAGAATGCACGTGAGAAATGAAAGGAGCAAATTATTCACCTATTTAAGTGGTCAATTCCAAGTTAGGGAGCTCTCTTTGGTATTGAGATACTATTGTGAATTCTGAAGTCTGAACATGAGCAATTCTGTAATCTAGTTTGTGCTTTATATTTGCTTATCTCTTCTGCATCTACATAAAGTAGCTATACAGTGTACTTGTAGAGTTACTTCAGTTTGCCTTTTATGATATTATGAATGTTTGAACGTATCAGGCTTGAAATCTTTTTTCCTGAAAATCAATGCCCTTATGGTTGCTACATGGTATGTTATTCTAGGTTTTATGATGGGAGATCTTGGCGCGGAGGACGAGTTATCATTCGAAGGTAAAATCTTTTTTGTCAATCCAAAAGGGAAGAAATTAATTCGATAATCTGTTCTCTTGTTATAATTTTTGAGCTGTCATCGGCTATCATGTTATATGTTATTTTTTGCATGGTCAGGAGAAATCATGGATGTATTTTGTGTACCAGTACTTAGTGCTGAGAGCCACTGATGATGTTATTTATAAAAGAAATAAATGATCATGTGATATTCAATATTGCTTTGGTCATCAATACGTTGGAAATTTAAACTGGGCTCGTTGATTCTTTATATTTAAAGAGCAGTTTATTACCAAATTCCTCCCTTTTGTTTCCTCTTTTTTCCCTTGAAATATATTGTTGAGAAAAATACTACCTATTATTTCATTTACTTTTTTTCCCAGTGTCTATCTGACTAAAATTATTTTTGTAGATCGCTTCAAACAGTATGTAATGGTGAAAAAGGATGGGAAAATCATATGCTCAACACAGTGTCTCAATCCACCTGCCAATACGTATGCAATGCCAGCTTTCCCTGCACTTCTGCTTTAGTTTCACCTTCTGAATAGCTCATGCATATTTTCTTACTAAGTCATGTTGACTTTTATGGTACATCATGTGCTGATGTGATGTTTATCTGCTAGTATAAGTTTCCAGTTTTAGTCATGAATCAACTTCTATTTTCTTTTCTTTCATCAAAAAAGAAAATTCAGCAGTTTGTTCAATGGAAAACTTGGAAGTTCCTTCTTGAAGCATTTTTCTCTATATGGCATACATCGAGCTTTTCATTCCAATATTAAAGTAATTTCTTGTTCCACTTTCCGATGGTAGGTAGTTATTGTTGAGGTAGAGTTATTTGTCACTGGCAAACATGTTTTTTTTCTTTCTCTATGATTATTAAAAAAATAGATTTCGAATTTGTTGGCAACAGAATTTCTTCTTTGCTTTTCACCTTTGTTAGTTTAATCTTTTCTTTCCTAATATCTACTGCATGATCCAGTTCTAAAACTAAGTGATGCTGCAGATTCCTCAAATTACTCTTTCTCTTTCTTCTGCTACTACCATGTCATCATATTCTTGACCATCTTCTGTGCCATGCAATTCAATTATCTATACAGTCCTATCTCCAAATGGTCTAATGTTTCTTCCTCTGCAAAATGATGCATACATTAAGCAAAAGCATGTGGAGAGGTTTTAGTCACTTTTCCCTTGTAAACTTTGATGCAATTTAAATACAACCTGTTTATCCAATTCAAGTATGCAGTAAGGTACCATATATCCATCAAAATAATTATGAAAATGATGTATCCATTCAAAAAATTGAGAAAAGATTGTTTCGTGGTGACACATGAGTGTTATCATGATAAGTTGTGTTAAAAGCAGAAACTTGATTTCTGATTGATTACTTTCATGTTCTACAGTAACAAGGCTTAACTGATCTTATTTCTTTTCTTGACTTAAATCTAAATCATTGGTTGTTCTTTTGAAGATTTAAAGTTATCGACTGTGTAATGCATTACTCGTCCTGAGGCTTTCTACCCTCCCTCACTTAAATGCTCGATTGATGCAAATGATAATGTGCACTAATCTGAAATGCAGGCCTTCTATTTGGAATATTAAACACATTCTCCGACAAGACAAATTTGACTTCCTCTCTGAGTTATCCCGCTGCTTGTTACGCCGTTCTCCAGAAAATTCTCATCAGGAAAAGGAGTGGCATGCATTCCTTGGTTTTCTTCAGAAATACAAAAAGGTAACCTGTTAGAATCCTGATACCTTATTGCATTGATTATTTGCGCCCCCCCCCCCCCCCCAAAAAAAAAAAAAAAGAAAAAGAAAAAAGTGCAGTTAATGTTTGTTTCCTACTTACTATTTTTAGGTGTTCATTTTACTTGAAAATTCTATTTATCTATCCAATACATATCTTTGTATTGCTTTCCTATTGAAGGTCGCTATTGGAGAACATGAGCACTTTCAATTTTACATACTTCCTCCCAAAGAAGGCTCGCCATTCAATTATACATTTGCTTGTTACCGGGAGAGGGAAAAACCAAGTGAATGTCCTGTAGGTAAGGCCTCTGGATCAACTTCTCATGTGATTGAGGATGCTTGTTCTCCCTGCAATGAAGAGGCTGTTATAGGTGCCCAAACTTGTGATTTGTCAGCCAAAGTTAGTGGAAGGCCTGAAAAAACAAATGTACAGAATATCTCCCTGGAGAGTAATTTTGTGCATGCAAATCCTAGTTATTTGAAAACTCTAGGTCATACCCATTCTGGTTGGAGTTTTGGAGCAATCGCGGAGTTTGTGGACAATTCTAGAGACGCCAAAGCAACTAAGTAGGTAGACAAGTCACTTTCCTGGTCAATGATTCTTTACTGGCTTCCTTATTTTAATTGCCTTTCCCTTTTTGTACTGTTACCATGATTTTTTAGAAAAAAACTTCTTGTTTGTGTACTCCCCTTTTCCTTCTACTTGATCATTCTACTTTGCTTGCAGTTCTCTCTTCTAGCTGGGCTAGAAAGGTGGGGAGTGGGGGAAGGCAGAGGTTACCAGTTTTTTGGTTGTGCACTAAAGTTGCATAGTTTCTCATTTCACGTTGCTTTGATTGGATATTTGACAGGTTGGAAATTTCTATTGACATCATATATTCAAGAGTGGTTGGCAGAGAAATTCCTATGCTATGCATTATAGACGATGGGTGTGGAATGAACCATCAGGAGATGCTTCAGATGGTATCATTTGGACACAAGCAACCTGATGCAGATGACCCTAATCGTATTGGGAGATTTGGAATTGGTTTTAAGGTACATTAATATCTGCATGCACAAGATGTGAAACTCTCAAAGTCCCTATCTGTTGTCATCATGGTTTTGTTCCCACTTTTTGTATCTAAAGTCATATCCTAGGTAAGCCGAAGGTGCATCATGTCCTACCTAATCACCTCTCCAGTTTCTTCTCTGTCTACCTCTACCCCTCAAACCTATCACCACCAACCTCACACACTTCCCTCACTAGAGCATATGTGCTTCTTTTCTTCACATGCCCAAACCATCTACCTCACTTCTCATCTTGTCCAGCTCAAAGGCTGGTGATTGTGTACGGAATATAGTGAAAATGATTTACACAAAATACCTCTTAATTATATTAAGATTTTGTTCAAGATCTTAATGATTAAGACCTATTCAGACCAATAAATTGTTTAAATCACCCTTCGGGGTTGCCCAGTGGTTTGAGTTTGGGACTTCCGTGTTGGAGGTCTCAAGTTTGAAACCCCTTGCCAGCGAAATCAAGGGGTTTGCCTTCTGGGTCGAGCTCGTCTCACCAGGCTTGCCTACTGCGGGTAACTTCTCCTATGTGGTTTACGAGCTATTACATAGGAGCGGGGGGTTCTACCCTATTCGCGCCCAAAGGGTAGCGGCTGCGGGTTTCCCTTGTCATTAAAAAAAATAAAAAAAATCAAGTGTTTAAATCTTAATCTTAATGTAAACAAATGCACATAATGGTCTAAAGTCTGAGCTATTTTTAGTGCAAACTGAAGCGGCCTAAGTAAGAATCGTTCAGAGGAACAAGCTCCTCTCAATTAAACAAAGGAATATGACAATTCATTTTTACAGTTATATGGCAAAAAACTTTTCTAATTTGAGTGAATTAACTAAAACTGATTTATCAGACTAAATGCACGCCTCTATTGAAATAACAGATGAAAACAAAAATTTTGCTCCATATCGACTCCAGTAATTAATGATACAATTTAATTTAATTAATAATTTGGCAATATGGTGGTACCAACATGGCAACATGCGTACAATCTGTATACAAAAAGTTGTGATTCTTGTGAATGCTAAGCGAAAACATGATCCTGCACAAAGTATACATGCCGTTGACTTGTAAACCATGTGCTTGTTGGTAACAAGCTTCATGGTTAACTGTAAGGACTTGGGAATGTGAATCTTGTAAGTAATGATAATGACTTCCTCATTTTTAGTGATGTTGGATTGTAATGCAGTGCTGGCATATAGATGCATCTCCTTTGCTTGAGATTCTTTAGGTTTCACCTTAAGCTGCGATTCTTGATAGCTTTTGATAACATGATATGTTTCTGTTCCATTGATGTTCTTTGTGCAGACTGGGGCAATGAAGCTTGGGAAAGATGCATTGGTTCTGACACAGACTACTAACTCTAGATCAATTGCTTTCCTTTCCCAGACACTTAATGAAGGAAAAGATGTATTCACCAGATGAACTTGTTAGACTTCTTTTTTTGGTTGTAATTTTCGTCAGTAGTGCTTATCTTATCTGCTCATTCTTATGCTGCAGAATCTGGAGATACCCATTGTAAGCTACTACAGATATGGGCAATTTATGGAGCTGGATAAGCAAAATGAGACTTTGTTCAAACACAATTTGAAAGCTATTAAGGAATTTTCACCGTTTGATAAGTACTTTATTGGTCAAAAAGTAGGTCTGTTCAGTAAGGATGGCACAGGAACGCATATATATATCTGGAATCTGGAGAAGTGGGGACCCAATTATAGCCTGCAATGGGAGTCTGGAATAACTGGTGGGAGCTCCTTCCATCAGGGCGATATTCTCATTCGTTCTAAACGGGTCAGAGCTCGTCCAGGCCAGATGACTCAAATGGTTGGTTGACATCTTTTATAACTTATATTCCACACTCTCTCTCTCTCTCTCTCTTCATTTTCCTAAGTTACAATTGATTGGTTTTAGGTTCCTTTGGACTACTCACTTAGATCTTATTTGGAAGTGATCTTTCTTGATCCACGTATAAAAATATATGTCCAAAAATCACAGGTATTTATACATACATTTCGTTTTTGTGTAACAGTTGTCTATACTGTTAATAAGATTGGAAACTGATTCTTTTTTTAATGTTCTAATAGGTTAAAAGTCGACCATTAGCAAGATCTCTGAACAGGACTGTTGTGGAAAATGGTACTATAATGGGGAAACCGGTTCAGCTTACTCTGGGTTGCAATCAATTGGAATGGGAAGAAGCAAATTGTGGAATATTTTTGTATTGGCATGGACGTCTAATAGAGGTAAGCATTGGACGTTCATTCTTGCCTTCCTCATAGTTTCAGAAAGGAGATGTTGGCTTTTTTGCTGATAGTTGTTCATAATCTCATTCTGATTCCGCTTTCCATTTCTCTGAAACGAAAATATGATTGATTACAAAAAATGAACTTGTGACTTTTTAAGGTGTTATGATCTTAAATATGCAGTAGTACTCTTATACTATATTACTTGATGGGTGACAATATGACTTCCATTTAGACAGTATTACTTGATCGTAAGGATTTGGGATTCCTGAAGCTGACATTTGATTATCCACCTCCTCTTAATATACCTTCCTGTACGTATATTTCAGCATATACTTGATTTGAAGGTCAAGATGGCTTGATATTGAATGATTGTTAGTTACTTGGAAAATTCCAGGATGAATTGGACTATTTACTCATTTTCTTTCCCCAGTTTTAGTCTCTTGTTGAGTTCAAATTGTAGTCTATGATGAAGAGGGATATGGTTGTGACAACAGAACCGTCTTATATCAATAATTCAGATTGCTGAATCCATATCTTGATTCCTATGCGTTCACTCCAAATTCATTGAAGTCAATAAGAGGTTCTATTGACTCAAGGAGATCCAGATACTAGCATTTAGATTCCTAGAAAATAAATGACGAAAAAGATCATTTTATTTTTGCAACAAAGTGGGTGAATATACAAGGATTTATGTCTACTTTTGGCTGGGAAATCACTTGCCTAGCTGACAATCTATAATATAGCAGCTGACATGGTTATTCTTTCAAAGGCTTACAAGAGAGTTGGGAGTATGATGCATAATGGAGATAGAGGTCGTGGTGTCATTGGTGTTATTGATGTCACAAATCTAATGGTGAATATTCTCTTCCTTTCAGTTTCTTTTTTCAAGTTGATGATGTTTTTGCAATATGTTGTTTTTTGTTTCAATTTAAATTTACATAGCGATAACATTGCAATTTTAAAATTCTGTATCCTAGACAATTTTATAAATAAAAGGATTATAGTAATGTGTTGTATTATTTCGCCGTGTTCCCTAAAATGATGATTGAGTGAGTATATTCGTTAGAATATAGATTTTGAGTCCCTTCAACTTTTTAAAAGGTCACACCTAAGCCCTAGGATATTTTTACAAAGCATGTTCTGATTCAACTATTGAAAATGAGGGAAATTTGCAATATCCGTGCATATGAGAATTTGCCCTCTTTCACATGAAGTGCTTGAAACTTGTGATGAACTTTATATACCCAAATTATTTAACTTTGCATTAAAGTTAATTTGATTCTTCTTAGATGTAACTCTCACATCCCATTTCCATTGCTTAGTTTTAGAGACCTTACCCTCCCCATACACCACTTGTGGGATTTCACTTGATTTCTTGTTGTTGCTTAGTCTCTAGAGAAACAGAGTTTTACTAAACCAAGTTGCGTGCAATTCTGTATCAAAGAAGTTCAGTACAGTGACTTACATTATAATGTTTCCAAATATGTAAGATAAAGAGTAAAAGAGGAGTGTAAGAAATTATGAAGACGATTTGGTTGTGGTAATTGTTGGTGACTTGGAGCGATTAAACTTTGAGCCGGTGGAAGGCTTGAGAAATTACTGGCCAGAGTAAAGGGACCAAAAGCAATCAAATCATTACATATACAGTTCAAACTTTCAAGTTTAATGATGATCAAACACGAGATATCTTTGATGAGCTGGAAGACTCCTATATCACTTAACAAACTAATAATATGAATTCATGTGAGAAGTAACATGTTTTGCAAGTACCAACACATCGAGATTATTTTTGTCTATCAATGTTTTACTATAGAATTTTTTGATTTTATGATGGTATGTTTTCTGGTGTAGAGAGGAAATACCATTTTTTCTTGATAGTTCAGTAGATTTTGCGATTCTAAAATATCCTTGTAGTATAATACTTTTGTGTATCTGACACCCTCTTGAGGTATATTAATTGATATCAATCAACTATCCTTAATTCTATACCAGTTGATGTGGGCTATGATTCGTCAGTTTTCATCATAACTTAACTATTTTTATGGTGGCTCACAACCAACTTATCTGGATCTGGGGTCATCTACAGTTTGGATTGTGACGTAGTTGCTGTCTTGATGTATCAATAAAAGTTTTTTCTTACTAAAATTAGAAAAGGAACTGAATATTTACTGACAATATTTGTAAAGAAAGTGATGCTTTAACAAAGAACCTTTCAGTTTACTTTTTATAAGACATTCCTTATGATAAAAGAAGTACATAAGACATATACCATGTCACTTTCATTTTCAAAATAATGTTTCATGGCACAGGCTGAAGATAACGGTCATGTTTGGGTGCACAACAATAAGCAAGGATTCCAGGACTGTGAAGTGTATGCTGAATTGGAGAAGTGGCTGGGTGAGAAATCAGACAAATACTTGGATGAACATGTTGATAAAGTTGAATTGGTACTTCCTCACTACACTGGCCTAGTATAACTTTATTTGCCGTAGCTACTTCTTCCTTCCCCCATCACAATCGTGATTTTATTCTTTATGGGCTATTGTAATTTGCCATGGATTTGAAGCTGGTATGCTCTTCAACTTTATCATTGATTGCTCAGTTTTGATGGGATAACTTGTTTAATATCGGGGATGCAATCTAATGACTTAAAACCACCCTATCAACTTTGAATGAGGACTAATGATATGAGTTCTGTGGGAGTAATTTGAAGGATAAAATGGTGGTCATATTCATGCAACCAAAACAAAATAATTTCTTTAGCAGAGCTGGATCTGAAAGGGCAAGTAAACTCGGTTAAGCAAGGCATATAAAACCTTCGAAGAAAAAATAAAAGTTCAGTGGTACTAGAGTCAAGTTTGCCTCAGGTTCAGGAATCATCGCTAATGGCGCTGTTGGTTTCCCCTTTTTGGAGATTGATGAAGTGATTTATTGTCCATTCCCACAAAGAGGCGTGTAGCACAGAAATTATTTTATGTGGTCCATCTGATAACAAATAAGGCATGAGGAAAGTGTTCAAATGTTTCTGCCTCATGCGTAATATTTCGATACTAATTTGTGAGTATGATTATCCAAACTACTGCCTGCATAGGCAGCAGTACGCCTTTACTTTCATGTCATGTTGATGCCTTGCAAGAAATATTATTGAAAAAAGTACCATTAATCCTCTTCTTTGTATGATTTCCTTTTTGAAATGTCAGTACACTCACTATATAGCTTTTCTGGCATTTCTGAGCTGATCTGAGCAGGGAGAAGGGATCTCTCCGATTTCTCTCAAGTCATTCTATTGCTTTTTTAGATTTTAGAGTTGATGGTTCATTTTGTCAAAGATGGCATTCTCACCAATTTTAAACATGGGTTTTCTTTTCTTACAGAAGCCAGGTAGTGGTGTATACAAACCTGACAACGAGTGGGTGCAGTGTGACAAATGTAGAAAGTGGAGAATGTTGAGCCATGGCTTCAACAGCAAGACTTTACCACTTCAGTGGTAAGAGTCTTATCTGACTTCCCTGGACTTAATTGACAGATGTTACTGTATTATTTCCTAAATTGATAGTTACCCACAATTTTAGATTCATGACAAAATTGATATAGAGATTACTTCACTTCTGAAAAAATTACTCCTCTTTCTCATCTCCTAATTATGTTCCCCTTGTAATGCACATCCAAGAACATACATTATGGAATTCAAAGATAATATGTTGTTCCGTTGGAATGTGGTCTTTTATAGAAAATCTGATTTATTGCAAGATAATATTTATTTTGTTTGTGTTCAGTTTTGCTATATTGTTTGCTTTCTTGTCTGAATTCCACAGTGAAGTTCTACTTGTTCACTAGGTCATTATAATAGTTAATTTGTTTTGCTGTTGTTTTTCACATTTTCTCATGTACAAAAATTTGTCATCATGTTTATTAGTTAAAAAGTATTTGCCTCATATTCACTAAATGTTTTGTTCTGTATATCCTGTTTTAACATTACTATAGGTTCTGTTACATGAAACCTTTTAACGGGGAATGCGAGAGATCAGAGCAGGAAGTTGAACCTGGAGTGATAACGATATCCAGCAAGCGTCTGGGATACAGTTCCACTGAAGATCCCGAAGAGATAAAGCGCAAGCTCTCCAGACAAGCTGTGGGGACATCAAAAAGTATGACACTGAAATTGTTCACTTCTTTAGTTATTCTGGTTTGCAGCTAGAGATGAGTGGTTATTATATTATGCCATCAGTGTTTTTAGCAGTGTGACAAACAACAAATAATAAAGAAAGAAAATGAAATGCTACTTGCAGCGCAGCAAGTGCTGTTTCCTGTAAACAGTGGGTGTAACATTGTATACAGTATAATAGTTTAGCTACTCTTTTTCCTGGTGAGAAGTGCATGTTGAAGTGATTTTTGCTTAATTAGATAAATTTCCGAAGTCTAGGTGAAGCAGCTTGAGGATATATAATTTTAGATGGTCATTTAAGTTTTATTTATAGGGTTGACCCATGATATTAGTGTTTTGTTTTTAGTTGCAGCCACTGTCTTGTTGGGGGGTTATGCTAGAGTCTAGACCCCTACATGTGTGAGGGGTATATGAAGCATAACCTCCTCAAAAGAGACTAAGGAATTGGACAGACCCAATCGCTTACACTTCAGTACCAGAAACTCAAATCTGGGCTCTACTAGAAATGTTATACAGATTCCCCTTTTATGATATCTAAGAGATAAAAGATCTCTTTCAGCAGTTCCCTTACAAAATTTAGCTTCACAAAAATGTACAAATCAACATATATCATGAAAATACCAGTTCATGAGGGTTTTTCTTCCTAACACTAAGGCTAGGGATCTTCCTTTTATCCAGTTGTAGTAAACCTCTCATTTGCCTTGTGAGGCTATCAAGAGAGTTATAAGTCTTCTCATTTCCAGAGGGTAAGCTCAAGATAGTAAGTTTGTCAGCCACTTGATTGGCTGGCCTTAAGGCAGTGGTGAATAACTCAATCTGAATCTGGTAGAGCATTTTGTATATCCCTTGTTTTGTGAGTTGCCGTGGGATCTTGAAAAACCTCCCTGATGCATTATTGCAAGATATCAATGTTCGTTGAGGTGTTCTGCAGGGTGAAAAATCTGGAATGGATAATGTTCATTAATTTTAGTTTTCTTAAAGTCCACATCCATATTCGTTATTTGAAGTAAAGGAAACATTTAGGATATTTAATGTTAACGGTTTCAGTTTTCTGGGCTGGAAACAAAGAAACATTCCAGCTCTTTAATGGGGTGCAATTTTTTTTATGGTTTTATTTCCTCTACTTTTGCACTAGACTTGTTTTAACTGGATCAACGTAATGAGAATTTTGACTGTAACGAGATTTAACTTTCAGTCTGCAGACATTCCATGTACAAGATAATGCTTGTTAGGTAACACACGTTGTTTCTTTTTCTCATATTTTCTGCTCTTGGTTTCTTATGCAGACGTGGGTGAGAATGATTCAAGTCATTCAATGGATGAGGATCAAGCAAAAAAATCACCTGCACAGAAACGTAAAAGGCTCCTAAGGAGTTGTAGGAAAAGTTAGTATTACATTGAAACATGCCGTTTCTTCTTGTGCAGGTATCTTTATCGTATGTATTTGTTGTCGATATGCAGCGGCTTTTTGTTAGTACAGTCATATGTTGGGAAGAGGTCATAGTGAAATATGTTATTTTGTTGTACACCTTATATCAGAGAGATGTGCTATGACCGAACACTTGTCTTGAGTTATAAGTTTCAACTAGTACAAGTAAATCAAAGACACATAGATTGATACTTATTTGATCACAAATCAAATATGCATAACTGCTAGTAGCTTTTTCTTTTCCCGTTACTGTGAAGATAGTAAGGTAAGTATCTGTTTTTCTTTTTTGGTAGTAGACTGAATGAAAATATTGTAACGGAAAATGGAAGTGGGATTAAAGGAACAATATTTTTACTATTCATTAAATGTCGCGCTCAATTATTGAAGGTAAATTCTCGTATCTTTTTTTTATGAAGGGGTTAAATTTATCCTGATAGAGCAGAAGCGTGACGATACAGTTTATCATGCTCTATAGTAACAGGTACAGGAAAAAAACATGTGAAAAGAAAAGGAGATTTGAGATGAACGTCATACTTGATATTATCTCTTTTTACTCTCCCATCTAGTTCGGTTGAGTAGCGAATTTTGAACACGATAAACTTCCTTGGTCAATAAAAACAAAGAGATGCTAAATAAATTGATTTATAAACCTGTATTTTCTCTTTGATTTGAATCTTAAACTAAGGATCTATAACTCTAGTCTACTAGACTATAATCACTAAAAGAAATATTAAAAGACACTTGTTAATTATTTGAATTGACATTACTCTAATAACGAAATCAATGTATATTTAAATGGTTTTAGATGTATTTCTTTTTCAATTGTCATTCTTCTTCCATTTAATCAAAGAACAGTACGATTTTACCATTAATGTTCCTACTAGTATATTTCTACATTAATATTTATGGGCCATTATAAAATAAAAATAGACTAATACAACTCTTTTCAAATCTCTTATACGGTGACGGAACTAGATCTTTACAAAATAATATACATTTGCATAACAAGTTAACAAACTTTTAACTTTAACTAATTATGTGACTATATTTAGCTAACTAATAATCAACTTATTTCTTTATTACATTTAAATTAGATAAACTGAAATAAAAGTGTAACTAAATAAAAATTTAAAACAAAATGATCACATTTTTACCTAAATAGCACAGAAAATCGTTAGGAGTAAAACAAAATGATTTTTTATTCTTTACGTTTTTAACACAATTTTGACCAATTTTGTTTTTTTCAAAAATGGGATTTAAATTAATTCATTTCCAAATCTGTTTTGATTCTGAATGAAGCGGTTTTTGTTTTCTGAAAACTATAAATAGAGCACAGTACTACCGATGGAGTAGTGAAAATAGAGCGAAAAAAATCAGTTCAAAGCATCAATGGAAAACGTGGGATCAACCTCCGCCGCCGACGATAATACGCCGGCGCAACCAATCTCCTCCTCGACTCCTCTGGTCCCTTCATTTCCGGACCCTTCCGTCAGTACAACTGAATCGTGGAAACGCGGAAGACCAAACCCTGGGGTGACTACTCCTCCACCGTCTCAGGTCGCCGGCGGTGGACTTTCGTCTTCTGCGCAGCTGCAGGCAGATGAAACGGCGGTTTCTACTGGGAATAAGCAGCAAAGCGTTGATTTGGGTAAATTTATATGAAGTGAACTTCTGTACTCTACACATGTCTAATTATTTCTGTATTTGTTTATTTGTGTTACAACTAGCCTTGCTTTACTTTTATTATTAGCGCTACAATTCTTTATACCATATGAATATTTGTCCTCGATTTGTGTGATTCTTGTTGAGTTTTCTTCTGCAAAATGTTGAATAATTGCCTGCTTTCATACTAGTATAAAGAAGCCATTCTTGTTCTTTTTAACCCTTTCCTCTGGTGTTCATTTTACTGTGTATTTCTTCATTGCAATTTGGAAATTGAATATTAAAGATTTATTTTGCCCTTCCAATTTCCCTGTTAGCATACTTTGATATGATGTTCAACAGAAAACGTCTCATTCCCTCTCTTATGCTATTCGCCAAATCTGAATTTGAAATTTAATAGCTGATGATTTGTAATTTGGAGTTAAACAGTCTTGGTATGTTCTTTCTACCAAATCTCAAGTCACTCTTCTTGCAGGATCAGAAGTAGCCGCTCTTGGATTTATGCAATCACACGTGATCAACATAAAAACTGGGGAGGTGTGGTCTTAATTAACCTCTCTTTTGATCAGCATGTATTTGTTTATCTTATCAGTAGAAACAACGAGAATATAGTATATAATGTTTCTTTATATAGGAAATAATATTTTCTCAATATCTTTCTTTACTTTATTTAATCTGGCCTTTTGGCTTCTCAGGATATATTGGTCAAAATAATGTCATTCTGCGAAAGTACCTCTAAATCAGTGTGTGTTCTGTCAGCCAATGGTTCCACATCTAGTGTATCACTTCGCCGACCATATCAATCTGTAACATATAAGGTGTGTATGTATTTCCATGTTTATATTTGAGAGTGGGTGTGGACATGTATCAAGTTTATCATGTATTTTGCCTCGTGTGCTGATCTACCTTAGATTTTATCATTTATGTCGTAGTATGTAACCCCTCGACCAAATGTTTGACACTTTTGGCTGGATATACTTCAGTACCATCACATGCCTCGATAGTATCACATTCTGATAACAAAAGAATTGTTGTTTAACTGGTGCAGGGAGTGTACGACATCCTTAGTCTGACTGGTTTCTTCTTTGTCTTGGAATCTGGTGGTCGACACAGCAGAGAAGGTGGCTTGACTGCGATACTTGGTAATGAAGAAGATGGTGATGTTTGGGGAGGCAATGTGGATGGGCTCTTTACAGCAGCAACTGATGTTCAGGTTTGACATAGAAAATTTTCAAAGATAGTGTCTGAATTAGCTCTACTTCCATCAGCATATTGAAATCCAATTATGGTGCAGGTTATTGTTAGTAGCTTCAGCACAGGAAAACAGGTGCAGTCAGACAACTTTGGTACACCAGCAAAATTAAGTCCTATGTCAGTTGGAAGTTTAAGTGGGTCTGTGAGCCCTGATAGTCCGCTCATTGTAACTAGTAAGAGAAGCCCTACTGGAGTTGCTACTCGGTTGCTCTTTTAAAAAAGGGATGTCATAATACCATTGGAAAAGCTGTGTAATGTGAAAATGGATTCTGCAGCTTAGCAATTCTTTTTCATATTGATTGAGCAACAGTGTACAAATATGTTTCAGATTTATGCACAGAAAACATTATTCTACTTTTACTTCACAGCTTCTTCATTCCTTATTTACTAGTATTTCGTTATTCCAGATTACTTGTTTTCGGGAAAAGGCCTAAGAATATCCCATAACCTATTGGAAATGGTTCAAAGATATCCTCCTTTCACCTTTTGGTCTAAAATAACCCCCCACTTTTGTTTTTGGATCCAAGATACTCCTCCTTCAATCTTTTGATCTAAAAATACTCTCAAACGTATTTATTATATCATAGAATAAAAAGTTTGTTTATGACCTAGAATACATTTTTTACTTATTTTTTACAGATTGTAATTTCCATTTCATCTAGTTTCCTCAATATGTTCAAAACGGGTACTTTAAACCCACAAATTCATATGATGCTTACTCGCTTGATGTAAAGTAACAATTTAGTTTTTACATTACTTTAACATAGTCCTAATTTGTAAATAAAAACTAAAAACAAAGAAATGCGAGCGGATTTATAAACCTACATTTTCTCTTTGATTTGAATCTCAAAATAAGAATCAAACTCCATAATCACTAAACTTAGATATAAAAAAAATAGATGCAATTTTACCATAACTGGTCCTTTACAAACCCTTATTTTCATAACATTAAAGTTAAGTTATTGAATGCTACTATATCTCTACATTATTATTATTGATTAAAGTTAGACGGATGATTAAAGAAATTAAAATTTCTTTGGTCATTTGTAAAATGAATATATTAAAATAATTTTAAAAAAATCTCTTATACGGTGATGAAATTAAGAACGCAAGTAACAATTAAGGGAAGTAACAAATTATTAAAAGAAGAATTTATGTGCAGCTTTATAATTGTAAAATGATTGTATATTCCAATTGTGTAACAACTTAACAGAGTTCTAACTAACTAATTATGTGACTTAAAATTAATTACAAGTATAATGAAAGTCATTAAATTTCTTTTTTTAAAACAAAATAGCACAGAAAATCGGTATGAGTAAATAAAAATGATTTTTTATTCTTTCTGTTTTTTAACCCAGTTTTGGTTTTATCAAAAATGATTTTTTATTCTTTATTTCCAATCTGTTTGCTTCTAAATAAAACGGTTTCTGTTTTTGCGAAACTATAAATACAGCACAGTACTACTGATGGAGTAGTAACAGTACGTGAAAATAGAGCGAAAATCAATGGAAAACGTGGGATCGCCCTCCGCCTCCGACGATGGTACGCCGGTGCAACCCATCTCCTCCTCGACTCCTCCGGTGCCGTCATTTCCAGCTCTCCTAGGCACCACCGTTAGTGGACTTTCGTCTTCTACGGCTGATGTAGAGACTACTCCTCAGGTCGCCGGCTGTGGACTTTCGTCTTCTATGGCAGAGGTACAGAGTACTCCTTCAACGTCTCAGTTCGCCGGCAGTGGACTTCCGTCTAGTCTTTCAATGTCCGGCGGTGGACTTTCGTCTTCTACGGTAGATGGAGAAAGTGCTCCTTCAACGTCTCAGGTCGCTGGCAGTGGACTTTCATCTTCTACGCAGCCGCAGGCAGATGAAGCGGCAGTTTCTAGTGGTAAATTTACTTCTATACTCTGCACATGTCTAATTATTTCTGTATTTGTTTATTTGCGTTACCACTTGCATTGCTTTACTTTTATTATTAGGGCTATTTGTACCAAGACTTATATAGTAGCTACCAGTTTGACAGTTTTCTGCTCGATTAATTTGAATTTCTGGATTATTATTAAACTAATTTTCTTCTGCAAAATCTTTTTTCCAGTTGAATATTCTTCTGTATTTGTTTATTTGTGTTACAACTAGCATTGCTTTACTTCTATTATTATACCATAGGAATATCATTTCTGCTGGATTCTTGTTAAGTGGTGCGATTTACTTCTGCAAAATCTTTTTTCCCGTGCATCCAGTTGAATTTTCTTCTGCAAAATGTTGAACAATTGCCTGCTTTATGATCTTTCATACTAGTATATATAACTTGCAGTATCAAACCCAGAAGAATTTGGACCTATGCAATCGCACGTGATCAAGGCAGAAGCTGGGGAGGTGTGGTCTTAATTTTTTATACACATTATCAATCGACCCATAGAATTGCAAAATTGTTGATAGAAGCTGGGAGGTGTAGCTAGCATTTTTTTGTCGATCGATTAAAATAATCTTAATAATTTTTTGTAGGAAAAGGATCTTAAACTGGAGAGTGAAATCAATTATCTAGTATTGAAGAGGAAGTTGGTGAAGTTCACAATCAAACAGATCAATTCATTCATTTCTGCCAGAAGTGTGGTAGGAATAGGTAGCTGGGGAACGGTGTATGAAGGAATGATTGAAGGATTATCTGGACTATCTAGTGATTTGAATGGGGAAAGAATTGCTGTCAAAGTAGGAAATTATTTCTGCAAAGAAGAAGAGTTTTGTAATGATGAGAATTATATTCAATGGAAGGTAATCCTGAATTCTACTGTGTTGTTTATACTCTTCTATCTTTACATAAACTAATTAGTCTATCTTTTTTTAGACTGAGATTATGATACTATCAGATATAAAACACGAGGGTGTCATCAAATTGTTCGGTGTTTGCCGCACCAATCGAGGTTTATACCTGGTTTATCCCTTCTATGAGAGGGGAGATCTCCAGAAAAGCATTGAAGGTAAATACATTTTAATATTACATATTGACTGTGTAAACTGAGTTATTAAATGCAAATTAATTGATAACTTGATATTTAAATCCACATGTTTTCAACAGACTCACTTTCATGTTTTTTTCCGTATCATATTCCAATTGCATTTAGTAATTAATTAGATCACACTCTTGATTATAATATTAAGAGTCCATCAAAAGTTGTCTGTGTTGAGACTATTGTACACAGATAATTAATACAATAAGTTGGGTTTGTTTTTCATATTGAATTTTTTCTCTCTAAATCTGTCCCATTTTACAGTTTTAGATTGGGAGAGAGCTTTAAATGTTATCGTGAAAGTTGCTGAGGCACTCAGGGTGTTGCATAGGGGTCAAGTCGTATGCAGGGGCTTGAAGCCGGCAGACATATTGTTGGATGATAACTGGAACCCTGTAGTGACAGGTTTTGGGCTAATGAAGATGTTTGGAGATGGTTTAAGTGTATCTCAAAAATTCAATCAGGAAGACCTGCTCTTCTCAGGTATTGATAAAAATATTTTCATTCTTTCTTTCAGAATTCAGTTTCATTCTATACAACTTCAATTTTTTAATAAGCTGTTCATTTTCTCAGGACATCAAGACCATGTCCTTCACTATGACTCTTACTGTCTGGGTTTTCTGATGCTCCAAGTGCTGATGAAGGTGAAAGAAGCTCACAGTCACTGGGCCAAAGGAGAGGGGAATTATGCACTTTGATATTGATTCTTATTCGTGTCGCTATTTCTCGGAATTTGTAGAGCAGGCACTCAAACTCAATAAGCAGAATTCTCATGTTGTCCATCTGGATTTCTTGAAGACGGGTAAATGTACGATGATCGTTGCAAGAAATTTAAGCGAATTGGCATTTAAATGTTTAGCCCAAGGGGGAGTAACCCGGCCCACGTCGGAAGAAGTGGTAAAATTACTCCGTATGATTGTCAGTCTCCCGGCTGCTCTCGGTGGAAGTAGTAGTAAATCGTCCAAGTGAAATTAGCTTTATGACCTTGTTTTGAACTGTTTTCTGTAGTTCAGTCATTTTTCCAAACTTTATATTGATCCGTTTATCTTTGCTTATCGGTATATATACATACTTTGTGAGAGCGAAATTATTGTGAAGTACGTTGTAGGTCTACTCCCTTATCCTATTAAGATTCAAGATTAGTAGTATCACAGTTTAGCTCACCAACAAGTTGAATTATTGACACAGCAGAGTGTTAGCACAGAGATTACTAACGAATCCATTGTCATACGTAGAATTTAATCTTCAACCATATCATCACCATTCGAGAGGCTAATTTTACGTTGATTCAATTTAAGAAGCAATGTAATAGTTATTAGAATTGAGTTGTTGATTGGTTGAGGGAGGATATTGAATAATGATAATATTTTTTTTGTGTAATTCAAAAGTGAGTTTTAAATTTTTTATATAATATAAAGTTACAATAATAAAATCCAACTAAAGAATTTGTGTAATAATATCGAAAAATAGTAGTATTGTGTTTATAATGATAAAATTGATAAATAAATTGGAATAAGACACCCTTTTTTGCTTAATATAAAATGTTTTTGACTATTTAGAATATTCAGTAATAACAGAATAAAAAGACTTGGTAAAACATTGTTGTATTTTCAATTTCTTTATTATTATTATTATTATAATAATAATAATAATAGTAGTAGTAGTAGTAGGTAAATAGAGATCCCTTTATTTATTAGGGTTCCTACCTACAATTGCAAACTTTGAAGTATATACAGGATGAATGAAGGTGCTGGAATATGGTGCCCAGTTTTCAACTCAGGTAAGTAATCCATTATTCACCCTTATTAATACTCATAGATTAGATCATTGTCTTTTACTATTGGGCTGTTTATGTATCTTGATCGAAAACCTAACGCTAATCAGGTCGACGAACAAAAATCAATTTCGTTATAAGAAATAAATAGACTCAGTTCATTGCAGGGGATAGAGAAGAGGATAATGATGGTTTTGAAGCTATATTTGAAGCCATGAACATTACTAATGTTGTTGGAGGAGACTTTGTAATGTCTATTCTGTTAGCATTACCAGTGAAGTCACTTTTGCGTTTTCAAAGTGTGTGTTGGTCCTGGCATGACTTGATCCTCTCCCGCCGCTTCATCAACATTCATCACCATCGAACCAATCGCAGCAGCAGCTTGATATGTTTCCACAGCGACGACAGTGGGAGAACAACCTATAACAGCGTCTCAGTGTCGTCTGAAGATGGAAGAACCATTGTGTCACGACCGGAATCTAGACCCCAGACGAGACCGGCGTCGTTGACCTCTCAGAGGTCGCAGACAAGCCTACTTACGTCATTCTTACTTTACATAGATTAATTTTAGCGGAAAATTTGGAATTTTTGATTCTTTAATCATACTTGCTGAACATTCTTAACATTTCGTAATCGTTCATCATCAACCATCTAACCTTTAAGAGATAAGCAACTGAAAGAAATAATTCATTAAATATTAATTGTATATCGGCCAAAATAGCACCAATACAAAGTCTGAACCAAAACAGGAAAGAAACGCTAGTGGAACATGCCCCACTAGCTCAACTCTAAAACTACGCTAGAATGTAAAACAGTAGCATCCTCGAAGGCATAAGGACCTACCAAACTCCGGATGAATGCTGACGTCCAGATAGCTGCAACAAAGAACTTGTAGCTCTACCGTACACCTGTGCCTGCACCTAAAAGTAGATGTTTGTATGGAATTAGTACACACTTGTACTAAGTATGGGTATATGCAAGCACACACCAGGGACATGCATGAGAAAGAATAGCTCTTTCCTAACAACATGATTTTTGGAAGTCAAGTCGGTGGACTTGCTAAAATGAGATTAGGAAGGTTATGCCACGAGAGTGACATGCATCATTATAGTTATTGTATGGCACACAACACATAATATCTTCATATAACACATAACATATAGCACATAGTTTCTTTCATATTGTTCATTCATATACCATGAGACCTTACTATCATAGACTTAACCTTAAGACTTCCCAAAATGAGGGCTCAACATATGGGACCTCAACTAGGGAGCCTTCTTCAGCAAACACAGAGCCTGCTTCGTTCATTCGTTCGTGTTTCATTTCAATTCATTCATAGGCCAGTGCGAACACCAGCTATACCTAGGATGTAGTTTAAGACTTTCATCGGGTTTGCTGTGCAATGATCAGGAATGACCTAATGTCATTACCTAAATCTAGCTCACCTCTTGATTATCCTATCCTAACACCTTCGGTATCATTCATTTCTTTATATGATTCATTTGAGGCTGGCCTCATTCATTCATTGGGAACTTTAACTTTAACCGACATAGATCATGTGAGCATCATGAAATCCAGTGTCTTCCCCACACCGAAAAGAGGTGGAATCACCGGCCAAAGCGATTCAATAACATGCTAGCGTATATGGGAATTTAACCCCGCCAGATCCCTATAGTGGCAATATAGGTTCAAAGACTAGGAGATGTATGGAGACCCATACCCGGCAAGCCGGACAGTCTCATCTCATGAGAGTTACGTGAACCTCCGCCCTTCCCGAAAGAAGGCATCACCGCTCATAGCTAGCCTATCGGTGCTCAGTATAAAGTTCCATTACATCCAACTCATACATCATGGAAGTTGTCTTCTAGTATGAGGGCATCATAGCTCAATAGATGATTTCTCATCTCATTATTAGTATTTAGTGTTTTAAACTCAATATTTTTCATTAAAGTATTTATAGAGACTGGTCTCTTCATTATCTTACACCCTCATTGATGAATACGTATTGGTAACATTTACTTAGGCTCGTTTGAGATTGCTCTCTCCATATACATTAGCCTCACATCATGATTGTCACCACATTCTTCATTTCATTACGTACATCTTAGGTTCACTTATTTTTTTGAACGTATGTTAAACTTATGTGTCTATACATACAAGCCATGGGGCTTCGTTTATAGTTCGTTAAGTGATTCTTATTTTCCTAAGATTATGTATTACAAGACTTATGTATCTTGTATATATACCAAGATCTTGATTTTTGATCAAAGTAGATTACATTATTCTTGAATATTTTACTCACGTATGACTTATGTATCAATACGGAGGTTTGGGCACGAGAACCCAAATCTTGAATTATTTGGACATCATTTATATTTTTCATTGATTTTAGTTCTAATATTCATAAATTTAGAACTCTAAATTAAATCTCAACATTTTCGTGACATAATACATTTTCTATTTTAATTAGAATTCTAAATTAAATTTCAATCATTTACATGAAAGAATAATTTCCTAATTTAATTAGAATTCTAATTTAAATCTCAATATTTACATAAAAGAATTAGTATTCTATTTTTAATCAAAATTCTAAATTTAATCTCAATGTTTACATAAGAGAATTAATTTTTTTCAACTTTAATTAGAATTTTAATTTATTATTATTATTATTTTTAATTACATTCGCTTGAATAGGGAGGTTGTGGGTTCGAACCCCCACAGCCCCCTTTATTTTTCTCTTATTTTCGCTGGAAATGGAGGCTGTGAGGTGGTGGGTTCGAACCCCCACAGCCTCACCTTTATTTCCTTAATATTTGTACCCCTCCCTTCAACTCTGAGGTCGTGGGTTCGATCCCCACGCCTCACATCCCTTTTTATTCCTTTTTTTTTTCGCGAACTGGGGGTCGTGGGTTCGATCCCCGCCCCCAGCATTCCCTTTTAAATCTTTTTTTTTTTTTTTTGCGCGTGGCTGGGGTCGCGAGTTCGATCCCTGCCAGCCCCATTTTTTTTTTTAATTAAGGCATGCTGCAGGGAGGTCCTGGGTTCGATCCCTGCAGGCCTCAAAACTTTTTTTTTTAATTCTTTTGATGTTCAAAAAATTTCCAGATTCTTTTAAAGTCTGTTTTCAAGTTCTGGAAATTTATTCTACGATTTTTCTTCACTTTTTCATCAAGTTTAACATTAATTCTTAGGGAAATTTCATGGTTCATTCATAATGTTTTAATTACACATTATATTTTTTTTTTATAGATTCGTCTAACCAAGAATTACTCCCTCAATCAAGCCACCTAACATTTCATATGAACTTCACGTCTTACCCCATTTTATTCACGAAAAATATACAATCATATTACATTAAACTTTTGGAGCATTACATAAAGAACCTCATTCACTGTAACATACTTACACATAATTTCAAGAAAAACATGGTTGCCTTTCATACGATTCCAAGTACACAAACATAATCATATTCATCGCGAAAACATAATATACACCTAAATCTACCAGCAATCATACCCAACCTAAAATTCATTGGGAGCTAGTGACAGGGGCATGCAACGGGAAACAGCCTTAGTTTCGAGATAAATAACTTGAATCGTAAGGGGCCTCTTGGGAAAGGAGCCAAGAGAGAAGAAACCCATACCTTAATCGATGTTCAAACTTTAATGTTGCTGCCCGGAAAACTCCTCCAAACCACTCCCAATTCACTTCAACGCACACCTCTCTCGACGAACCTCTCTTAGCCTTGACGTTTTGATTACTTATTTTCTTTTACTTGAAAATTTTTTGTGAGTTTTTCAAGCATGAAAACTGTTGATATTTTTGGCAGAAATAATGTGATGAAGATGGAGAACGTGAGAAAGAGAGTTAAGGAGCGTGAGAGAGAGAGGACTATTTGGATTAGGAAACTAATTCAAAAATCAGTCAAATAATAAATAAATACAAATCTGTTTTTGATTTATTTATTTATTTATTCATTTAAAACGTGAAAGGACAATTACGCCCTTTAAATACTTATTTATTCTTATTTATATAAAAAAAAATTTTTGAATCGTTACATTATCCCCCCCTTAGGAACATTCGTCCCCGAATGACACTACCATTACACCTCATAATGCCAATCAGATCATAACTTAATTGCTATGTACAATCAGCCAATAGCAACAAATACGAAGAGATAAGGAACTATAGTCTTATGAGTAGGAAGCCTAACCCCAAGAGTTGAAAAGATGTGGATATCGGGATCTCATGTCGGCCTCGGCCTCCCACGTAGCACCCTCAACAAGATGGTTTCTCCATAATACCTTCACTGTGGCAATCTCCTTGTTCCTTAGCCGCTTGACCTGTCTGTCTAAGATCTCAACAGGTATTTCCTCATAGGACAAGTCTTCACCAACCCCCAAACCTTCTACAGGTAGGATTGATGCTGGATCACCTAGGCACTTCTTCAACATAGAGACATGAAAGACTGGATGAACAGAAGCTAGCTCCGCAGGCAATGCTAACTCATAGGCCACCTCACCCACGCGTTGTAGGATCTCATATGGCCCCACATATCTCGGACTAAGCTTCCCTTTTCTACCAAATCTCATCACCCCTTTCATAGGAGATATCTTCAAGTAGACCTGGTCACCAACGTTAAATTCTAAGGGTCGTTTTCTGTTGTCTGCATATGATTTTTGTCGGCTGTAAGCAGTAGACAACCTGTCCCTAATCAGTCTAACTTTCTCCAAGGCCTCATGAATGATCTCTGGACCCAAAATAGATGACTCTCCAACCTCGAACCACCCAACTGGAGATCTACACCTCCTACCATACAATGCCTCAAACGGTGTCATCCCAATGCTGGAGTGATAGCTATTATTATACGAGAACTCTATCAAAGGTAGATGGTCATCCCAATTACCTCTAAAGTCGATCACACACGCCCTTAACATGTCCTCCAATGTCTGAATAGTGCGCTCTGCCTGCCCATCTGTCTGAGGATGAAAGGCAGTGCTAAGTTTCACCTGCGTGCCTAAGCTTTTCTGGAAAGATCTCCAAAAATGTGAAGTAAACTGAGCTCCTCTATCTGAAATAATAGACAAAGGGATCCCATGCCATCTCACAATCTCATCAATGTAAAGTCTCGCGTAATCCTCGGCCCTGTAAGTAGACTTCACTGGGATAAAGTGGGCAGACTTAGTCAATCTGTCCACAACAACCCATATAGAGTCATGCTGCCTCCTAGTCCTCGGAAGACCAACTACGAAGTCCATATTAATGGCCTCCCATTTCCAAGTCGGAACCTCAATGATCTGAGTCAGACCACCAGGCTTAAGATGCTCTGCCTTAACCTGCTGACAATTAGGACACTTAGCCACACAGTCTGCAATATCCCTCTTCATGCCATCCCACCAATAAATCTGCTTAAGATCATGATACATTTTTGTGGAACCTGGATGTATGGAATATCTGGACCCATGGGCCTCTGTAACAATCTTGGTCCGTAAATCATCTACATCTGGTACGCACAACCGGTTCTGGTATCTAAGTATGCCATCATCTCCCAAAGCAAAAGAC